AGAGAGAGATGCGCTCTGCATGGTGGGACATAAAAGAGAGCGAGTACTTAGGCGAGTAGGCCGTGCGGTCGACGCTGCCGCGCGCGACTTTGCGCGCGAGGCGGCGCAGCTTGAGAACGGCGGTGGGCGAGAAGCCGCCGCCGAACGTCTCGTGGAGCAGCAGGTTGAAGTTGTTGCGCTTGACAAAGATCGCGTCGTGGTAGAAACCGCGATGCGCCTTGACGTAGCCGTGGCCGTTCTTGTGGTCGAAGGGTTGGCCGGGTTGCCCGCGCGCCTTGCAGCCCATGTTTAGGCGGCGGGCCTTCTCTTCGGTGTTGCCGAAGGCGTAGGAGTGGCCAACGGAGGCGGGCGTGCCGCCGCTCGAGGCGTTGCCAACGCCCGCCGAGGAGGTCTTGAGGAGGGGCGTCCAGAGCTTGACTTCATTCACCTCATCGCATCCTCCCGGGCCAGCGTGGGGTTCCGCGAGGTCGACCTTGTACCCCTCGTTGTACTGCCGGGTGAGCTCTGGTTTCTCCTTGTCGCCGTGCACGACCGGCGCGTTGGCCGGGGCGCGCATCGCGTCCGCCCAGGCGGCGAGGACGCCGTCGTGGGGCCGCCGGTGGTGGGCCTTGTTGTAAAGGTAGTCGCCGAAGAAATCGACTGACATGCCCCGCTCGAGCGCGACCCGAAGGGTGGGAAGCGCCATGCAGAGCCCGAGGGGCCTGCAGCTGACGCCATCGTCCTTCCAGAGGCAGACGGCGTTGAGGTCGTCCTCGAGCCGCTTGAGACGCTCGTGCATGACACCCCAGCCAACGGAGGTGCAGAAGTTGAAGAGGCAGTCCGCCCCGTCGGTCGACTCGGTGATGATGCGGACGAGCTCGTAGTCGACTTGGGTCGGGCCGCCCTTGCGGGCGCGAGGCAAAGACTTTGCGAACTTGTTGAAGAACTTCCTCTTCAGTTCATAGCGCGCGACGCCCGGTTCGTCGGCGGTGACACTGGCAGGCGGGGCCCGCGCTTGCGGCGTCTTGCCGAGGTAGTTGGCGACAACCTTGGGGTCGCGGCCGTCGGCGGGCGCGGAGGGCGAGAAGGCCGCCCACGCCTTGCCGAACTCGCCCCGGTTCGCGTAGTAGTGGGCCCTCTTGACCATCTGTTCCATGGAAGGCTGCGAGGGGCCCGGCGAGTCGGTAGCGTCGCCCTGCTCCAGTGGGGTGGGCGGGACGGAGGCGGAGAGCGCCAGCTCTTTCCAGAGGGCCAGGAAGCCGTCGGGCGAGTGGGCGATGGTTGCGGCGCGCTCGACCATCTGGTCGGTCGTGTAGCGCGGCGAGCCGCTCGGCCGGCAGGTGACGAGGATCGTCGACGCGACGACGAAGATGGCACCTCGGGCGCCGTCTTCGGTGCCGGGCGCGTTGGGGTTGCCGCCGAAGGCCTTCATCCCGAACTCGAGCACTGAGCGGATCTTTGCACGGTACTCCTTGTTGTCGGGGAAGTCCTGGCTCTGCAGGTGGAGACGCTTGAGGCACTCGATCGAGACGCTGTCGCAGATGGAGAGATCGTAGTCTGCGGCGGGCGTGGTGTTGAGATTGATCGTGTCGGCCACCCCCGAGGGGGAGTTCCAAGCGAGCGAGACGCCGGTGGCGTTGCGGAGGGCGGCAACAGCAGCAGCAGAGCACGCAGCGGCGCCCGGGACGGCGGGCGCCCACGCGAGCCGCCGGGCGCGAGTGGCAGCCGAGACGCCACGGTTGTCAGCGTGGGTCAGGTTGGCGCCCGGTGTGCCCGGCGCCGCGTGCTGCAGTGCCTTGGCGATGGCGTCGGTGCACTCGGCCTTCGGCGTGATCTTCTCCTTGTGGGCTTTGTGCAGCGGGTCGTTGCGGGACGAGAGGTGGTTGAAGAACATGCTCGTCCCGTTGCCACCCGAGCCATCCGGAAGTTTGTTGGGGATGAGGCAGCAAATCTGAGCGCAGCACCCGCACTTGGTGAGCCCACTGGAGGCGAGGTCCACGGGCGTGTAGTTGTGCGTCTTGAAGTGCGTGCAGAGCGACTTGGCTGTCCCGAAGACTTGGGCGCAGATGGAGCAAGAGAAGGTTTGGCGAGGTGGGTTGGTGTTGGAGCTGCTGGCGGCTTGCGCCCCCCTCGCCTGCCCCGCCTCGCTTCCCTCCACGCTCTCTCCTCCGACGTCCTCGTCGGACGATTCCTCGTCGCTGTCGTGGCCACTGTAAGACGGCGGGGGCTTGCTCCCGTCGCCAACGCGGCGCTTGAGGCGCTGGGAGATGGGCCTCTCATCCATGTCGACGTCGCCCTCTGAGGTGGGCACACCCGTCGTGGCGTCGACATGCTCTGGAGACGCAGGAAGGCCGTCTGGGAGGGCTGCACCGGCGTCTGCCGGATCGGATTCGGCGCCGTCGCCCGCCGGGGCGATGGCGGGGTCGGGGTCGTCGCCCGTGCGCTGCTCGCCGTCGTCGGTCGCCTGCTCTTGCGGTGGTGGCGATGGTGGCAGCGAGATCGAGCCACTTGGATCCGGTCCGGACTCGGGCGGCGGCGGCGGCGGTGACGAGTCTGCGGCGTTGAGCTCTAGTACTTCGCGCTCGGCGTCGGCGAGGCGCTGTCCGGCGGCGAGGGCTTCTTCGTCGGTCGTCGCCTCGTCGAGGGCAGACGATGCGTTGCGCCTCTTAGCGAGGGCTTCTTCCTCTGTCTCCGCCTTGTCGAGGGCAGTCGACGCGACGCGCTTCTTGCTAGCGTCGCGCTTCTTGCCAGCGATAACGTCGGCGTAGGACATGGGGTCCGGCCCGTCGTCGTGGTGTGTCTTCAGCACCTTGGATGAGCCCTTGGGACCGCCCGCACTTCCGCTGGTCGTCCGCGCCTTGCCGCTGGGCGGGGAGGCGCCGCCCTCGGCAGCAGCGTCCGCGAGTGGTGAGCGAGGGCGGACGAGCGAGCCAGAGACTCTTGGCGCCGGGGGGACGACGCCGAAGTAAGTCGGGGCGAAGAGGTTGGCCGGGAACGCGTCGCCGCCGGGGGGTGGTGGTGGGGGAGGCGGCGCCGGCGGCGGCGGCGCGGGAGGAGGAGGGGGCAGCGAGGGGGGCGGTGGTGGCGGCGGTGGTGGTGGCGACGACGGTGGCACCGGCGGCGGCGACGGCGGGGCCGATGCTGTCTGGCAGTCGAGAGGCGGTTCGAACCGGCGCTTGCGCCTCGGCGGCCGGTCGATGGGGGAGGATGTCGATGGATCGAGCTCTTCGATGCTGGCACCGTCGTCGGGCGAGGTCGAGGGCGGTGTAGCCGACGATGACGCAGTGGCGCCGTTGCCGGTTGCCGCCGAGGACGATGCAGCAGATGACGACGTGGCGGCGCCGTTGCCGTCGCCTGGCTGGGCGTAGGTGGTGATCGTGCCGGGGCTCAGGACGACGGGCGGTTGGAGAAGGACGCCGGGATGGGCTGGCGTCGCCTCCCCTTCAAACGGGTACCAGAAGTCGAGTAGGATCTGGGTCGAGGTCGGGATTGGGTAGTGCACGTTGATGTGGGCGAGCGCCTCTTGGATGTCGCGGTACTTCTTGTGGCGCGCCCTCGAGCCCCCGATGGCGCCGTGCGCTGCACAGAGGTCCCACGTGGAAAAGACGCCCCAACCAGACCCTGGAACGTAGAGCGCATAGTACCAAGGTTTGGGCGCGGCGGAGACGCTGTGTAAGATGAACAGGGAAGCGAAAATGCCGTTTTTGGTGTAAACCGCCATGAGGCCGGCGAGTAGGAGATCTCCCGGGTGCCGGGAGCTTTGCCAGCACCAGTCCGAGCGGGTCGGAGAGGTCCCAGAGGCCGCCCGCCGACGAGGCGTCGCGCGAGAAGAGGCTGACGATGGTCTCGTTTGCAGGCGTGCCGCCAACGAAGATGTCGATGTCAGAGTTGTTGGGGACGGGCGACGCCAGAACGGCGCCTCCTCGTCCTGGTGCTCGACCGCCTTCGGTACCTGTCGACCAGGGTCCCGGCAGGAGCGAGTCGTCGGACGGGTAGAAGATGCGCTCGGAGTCAATGGACTTGTACAATTTGTGGCTCCGAGAGGGCCGCACCTCGCACAACCCAACCAGGCCCCCGCCCAGCGGGGTAGTTTCCTGGCTACTGGTCGGGCTGTGGTTGGTGCGGTTGGCTCCGGCTCTGCCAGTCGTCGAGGGCAATGGGCAAGACGGTTGTGCCGCCCCAGCCCCCTCATCCGAGGGGACCCCACCGGCGTTGTGGACACTGTGAGGGACAGGCTGCCTTGTGGCTGCCTTTGGTCCGACACAGAGCCATTCTGCACGGTGCCAGGTGGGTGGGACGGTCGAGGTAGTCGGCGCCGGACCTGTGCAGCGGGTAGAAAACACGCTAGACACGCTAGGTACACTGGACTCGTCACGCGACACAGACGCAAAAGACACACGAGACGAGGTAGCCTTGGCAGCAGCCGTGGCAGCAGTCGTGGCAGCAGCCGTGGCGGCAGCCGTGGCGGCGGCCGTGGCAGCAGCCGTGGCGGAAGCCGTGGCGGAAGCCGTAGCCGTGGCGGAAGCCGTAGCCGTGGCGAAAGCCGTGGCGGAAGCCGTGGCGGAAGCCGTGGCGGAAGCCGTGGCGGAAGCCGTGGCGGAAGCCGTGGCGGAAGCCGTGGCGGAAGCCGTGGCGGAAGCCGTGGCGGAAGCCGTGGCGGAAGCCGTGGCGGAAGCCGTGGCGGAAGCCGTGGCGGAAGCCGTGGCGGAAGCCGTGGCGGAAGCCGTGGCGGCAGCCGTGGCGGCAGCCGAGGCTGGCTCGGGAGCCGCGTCGGCAGCCGTCGGGTGCGCGACGATAGCTTGGACCGGCCCGACCGCGCTGCAGATGTTTGAAGCGGGTCGAGCTGGCAGCTCTTGGAGCGTCGAGCCGAGGAGTGGGTGTCGGACAGCGCCGACGTGGGACTCCGCTGTCGCGGCGTCCACGGGGCGCAGAGCACGCGTGCTCTGCGCGAGTGCGAGCGCAGGATCGCTCAGGATCAGCAGCACGGCGGCCGCGAGCCGAAG